TCTCTCTCTCTCTCTCTCTCTCTCTCTCTCTCTCTCTCTCTCTCTCTCTCTCTTCCGTTTCTCAGTGTTGTGTGTTTGAAAACGAGTTTATTATTTAGCATGGAATCGTCTTTGTGGAATGTATTATTGATGGGATCTATCCAAGTATTTCCATCTTAGACCATCATCATCTTCTCGGCGCTACGACACAAAATGACCAATGTTGTTCTAAACGCCACCGAACCGAGTAAGCAAACTTATCTCGAAAAAAATGTTTCGAGACTAAATTATTAACGAAAGCACAACGAGTGTTATTAATAGCGTTCTATCGATTTGCATGCATAAATGCAAAATAGCCTCCTCGTTCAATAGCGTTACTTTTTGTTCACTCTCCGCCGATGTTGTTCATGAGGTGGAAGAGAAAAGAAAAGTAGCGGTTACTTCTAACCAAGGTCAATTATTAGATTGTTTTGAATGTCGAAAATATGTTTCGATTTGTATTAGATGCCGAACACTAATTGATTGCGATGCATTTATTCCTTTCTTTCGTTTGTTCGATCGATTCCGGTTAGACAGTGATTGCACGCAAAAACAATTAAATCGTTTCTCTCTCTCTCTCTCTCTCTCTCTCTCTCTCTCTCTCTCTCGATTAGGCCATTTATGCAATGTCATATTCAAGAGCCATACTTGTTATTGCCTTGAATGGATTCAAAATCCAATTAACTGAAGATGTGATAGGAAGAAAGATTGGAATGCATATTCCACAATGATGATGATGATGATGATGATTCAACAATTATGCGACACCGCCACGTTTCTAAATACCGGATACGAGGGACAAAAAGGTCAGAGGATTTCGCATCCTGATTATAAAATCAATGTCTTATATTTTCTTCAATTTTAGCCGAGAGAACAATGGATGAAATGTCACAAAAGAATTTACAGATGTTATTCATGTGACCTCACCACCCCGACGTTATTTGCTACCGTTGTCATTAGAGTTTAATGACGATTGATGCCATAAAATTGAATTTTTTATTACATTTGATTGCCGCATTGATTGAAATGTCCAGCTATACCATAGCCTCGCACAAATGTGAAACGTCACTGGAAAAATATTTTAAGTGCGGTCGGACACGCTAGATATGTCTAAAAAAATCAACTTAATCGCCAACACACATAAAAACAATTATCAAGTAAAATTAAATCAATAATTTCATCTCTTTGCTACTTAAAACATGGAACGAAAGCCACGATCAAGCTCACAATCTTGCCGAAATGGAAAAAAACACAATTCTCAATAAGAAGCTAAATAAATAGCCAAAATCACCTTCATTAAGACGAGAAACAAATGCGCTGGCGGTTTGTCATGGAGGTAAACATTGACGTATACTCTGGCCGATAAACACACACATGATCTAATCAAATGTGATAAATCAATCAGCGATTGCGTGCGTCATTTTGGATAAAAGTTGCTCGTCCGCTCGCGAGACAGACGACTCTTTTCGCGCGTCATGTGTTTGTGTGTGTGTGTGTGTGTGTGTGTGTGTTGCATTTGAAATGCAAATATTTGGAAAAGTGTCGAGGTGATTCGACTAATTCTAACGATTAATATCAACAATCGATAAGATTTTTCTTATAATATCTCTTTCAATTCGAAGCACGAATCATTTCGCTCGATATGAAACAAAGTGAAAACAAACGATCGACGAGGTTTTTTTTGTTGTTGTTTCTCCTTTGTGATGCAAGGCAATTGCAAAGCTATTTATATATTGTGAAAATAAAAATTAAAATGAATACAAAAAGGAAAAAAGGCACGTCGTTCGAGTAATATAGAATAAAAGCAAAGAACACACAATACATTCGATCGACGAAAACACCATAAAATCAATTTTTTCGGTTTAATTCGTAATTATGCAAATGCACGAACCAAACGGCAAAACTCTTGAAATTTATGACTTATTCGACATCTAATATCAATGAAATTTTCCCAATTGTTTCTACTCGCAAAGTTTCTCTCTTTCTCTCCACTCCTCCTCTCTCTATGTATCATGCGCTCTCGTTCAGATGCATTTTTTTTCCCACTGATGTGCGCAAGCTTTTACTCATTCTCTACGATATTTTTTTGCTGTAACTTTGGCAAATACAAAAATTGAATCGTTGTTACATTATTATTATCAGCACCATTTATGTGCGCATGCAGGTGAATAAATTTTGTTTTCTCGTTGTGTTATTATTATTGTTGTTGTTGTTGTGTTGTTGTTGTTGTAGGTGCAGTTATTCTCAAGTGAGAACGAAAATGTTTTTTTCATTTGTTCGTTTTTAAAGACGCAAGTTGATCAATTCAATTGAACAAATCTCTCTCTCTCTCTCTCTCTCTCTCTTGCTCGCTCGCTTTGAGGCGGCTGATTTAACATATTTGCCCCCTCATAACTCCTCACAACCTCCTGAGAGATTGAGACGCAACGTGCAAATATCAAAATCAGCTTAAAATTTCAGAACAAAAATGTGGTGTGGTTGCCGTTGCGGCCGTTGCTGCTGCTGCTTTTTTTATTCACACAATTTTTGTTTGCATTGTTTTGCACGCTGTTTCCTTTCATTTTGCAGTTAATTATCACACCGCGCGCGCGTAGCACATCATCTTAATTTAGATATCAGACTGGAAAGTGAGAGATGTAGCCATAAATGAGCAAAATGAATAAAACAGCAGTAAAAAAAGCAACAACGACTCGAAACAAATACACACAAAATCGATGCTTTCAAATTATAGGCATTCCATCGTTAATATGCAATTAAAATAGCGATCTTGAGGCTTTGATATTGTTCCCTGTGTTTGCCTTTTGCAATGTTAATCATTCATTGTTCTTATCGCTCTGCAATTCAATATTTGTGAATTCGACGAAATTCGAATTGTATTGTACGTGTGGTTTGCATTTGTATCGAAAGAGTGAAAGAGAAGCAGAGAGAGAGTGAGAGAGAGAGAGATCAGAGAGCGCGCGCGCACGTTCGCGTAATTGAAGGTCCGTTTATAAATGAAATTAAAAGTATCGGCTTCAATCTCGATATCATTTATCAGTTATAATTTTGTTTTCGATCAATCATTTGGTAGCCATTCATAGAAACTTTCTCTCTTTCGCTCTCGTTCTCTCACTCATTGCCCGTTTGTACATTTTATTTGGATCGAACGTTTGGCTCAATCAAAATAGTACGATGACATCGGTTTCAACACCAAAAATTCATCAATCAACCCATGTTTTACGATCATTCGTGACCAAAACAAGGCGATTGTGTGTTTTTTTTTGGGTGGAATTGAAACAAGTTTAACAACTTCGGCGAATGGGGAATAGCCAATTATGAATTCATTTATGTCATTTTCAAAGGTTTTGCTAGAAACAAAGTCCGAGTGTTTTGAAAAGCTGAAGAATAGCAAAGGTCCAAAATTAATTGATAATAAACTTGAAAAAAATGGCAATAACAAGGTGTAAATACACGAAAGAAGTAAAATACGTTATGGACGAATTGACGACAATATGAAAGCTTCATCAATTAGTGAGACATAGGTATGTATCGCTTCTGCATTGCATCTCCTAATGAAAAAAAAGCTAATCTAATTGAACGTTTTTAGTCTTAAATCGACACATTTTGTTCCGAGAGAAGAATAAAACATCAACGAAACACATTAATTTGAATAACAAATTTCAAATCCGTTGTCGCCCTTCGCATCAAGGTATAAGTTATGTTAATGCTTAAGTTGTGCTTATATGCATGAATCGGTGGTCAGACAAAACATAAGGAAGTTGTAGTAAGAATTTTAAGCAATCAATTTGCAAATACACACAGCATAAATTCATATTTGAAGCAACATCGCTTAGATGTCAAATCGCGCGCTGTGTGCTCTTCCCGCGAAATATACGTTTCTCTCTTTCAACTGTTCTGTGTGGTATATGTACATTTGGACAGACGCTCAATCAGCTCTAATGAACCAATAGACATGTACGCACTCTCGGCGAATGTCACACGTTTGTAATGCCAGTGAGAGAAAGAGACCGCGAGCGCAATAATTCGAAAAATGTGAGATAATAATATTTATTGAAGATGCCACCAAATGCGTGTGTTGCATTTGTGTGGGTCAAATCACGGTGCGCAATCAAACAACGGCACAACTTATTTTATAATGGCATAAAGAGACGAATATAGGCCAAAATTGAAGCATGTAAATGAGAAGCAACTGATCATTTTTGACTGGATACATGACATACACTTTAGAATCGAGACATACGGGTATTGATGGCAACGTTGTTCTACGGGCTGTTTACAAAAAAAAAACCATGATTATTCACAAAATGGAGAAATAATCAAATGTTTGCGTGGAATTTCCATCAATTCCATGGATTTGGGGTAGTCGACAGAAATAGACAGATTAAATGAAGCGAAAGTGTTAGAAATGGAATAGTTAGTCACAGGCTTAAACAAATTATGATTGCATTAACAGTAGTAAGCAATTTATATTTACACTAAAAGAAAAAAAAAACGTTTGTCAATGGGGTAATCCAAGTAAAAGGAGATAAGAAGAAGAAATAGATATAAAAAATGCCAAACAAAAATTTTGATCGAAAAGTTTTTTTTTTGGAAATGATTAAAACCTCATATTGTGTTGTTTCTGTGTATATTTTCACATAAAATCGAATATTTACCAATTTCACAGACAGAAAATTATTCGAAAATGAATAATGAACCGAATTTCTTACACGTAACACACGCATACACACTGGGAAAAAAAACTCGAATTCGATTCAGTTCAATTCAATCGTCGTCCGTTCATATCGTTTGACATCAATCTATAAAATCGGCACTTGGGTATCACAAATCAATAGAAGCTTAAGAATAATTCAATGAATAAAAATCCATTTTATGCACTGCCACTGAATGTTCACCACACCGTGTTTTGTTTTTATTTTTGATTCGTTTGGCACAAGAAACCGAATCTTCTTGAAGCTTTAATACGGTTTTTCTTTTAGCTTATATCTTAAGATCGATCAATTGTTTGTGTCGGTCGATATTTTATTTCGAAAATTCGCTTCCAATTTTCAATTCGATCGCATTTATGGTGCAAAGTATCTGAAAGCTAGGCGAAAGTGTACGTATTATTGATGCAAAATAAAGAAATTACGGGATGTGCGAAGATCGGACAGCGCTTCACGTCTTCAACCATAACCATTTGGTTATCAGTTTCATACTGATTTGTTGCTGAAGCGGTTGCTGTTTTGTTCGTGTATTTTTTCTGTTGTTACTGGTGCCTGCTTACGATTTTATTGTGATGATGCTGCTGCTGGTGCTGCCGCCGTCGCCGTCGTCGTTGTTTGCTGTTGCGAATGTTACTCTTGTTGTTCTCGCGCTGTTCGAGTTGCTGTTGTTGTTATTATTATTCTACTTCTTTTTCTTTCTTCATTTGTTTGTTCTTTTCCGTGTGCTTTGCTTCTGATTGTATACGTTTTTATAGCATTTAAGCATAACACGATCAATTCTCCCTCTCTCTCTCCCCACTCTTTCTCTCGCTCTCTCTCTGTCTCTTTCTACGTTCAAAATCTTCAACAATGAATTGTTGTATATACTTTTGAATTAAAATCGTGTGTCGGAATCTATATGGCCCGGATCGAGAGATCGTACACACATACACCACATTTACTATTTTCGAATTTAATTTCAATAAATAGTCTTCATGAGGTTTTGGTATGTCATTTAGAATGACAAAAAAAAATAAATAAAAACCTCCTCCTCACATAGGACTATATCCAAAAGTGAGCGATTTTGATATTTTGTTTTCTCTTTCCGTTTGTTGTGTCTTGATCACACGCTGATATGATGAATCTTGGTGATTTGTTTATTTCGGATGACATCCAAATAATCACTGTCATCAGCAGCGACAATGGATCAATGCAAAACTGACCAGTTTCAGATGTTATGCAAAAATTCCTAGTTAATAATTTGAGGAGCAGCAGCAATATAACCACAGATAAAAAAAAACAGGTTACACATATCACACGTATCAAGTTTGAGTCGCAATTTTTTCCTCTCTCAATCATACAACATCCGAATATCGTCGTGTTCATAAAAAAAAAGTCGTATGCATCGCGAACCATCGTTTAAATATTTGTATTTTTTTTTATGGATATCAACATCTTTTGAATTCAAATAATTAAACAAAAAATCGTCGATAAGCATATCGATGAGCGTACGTGTGTGTGCATGCACGTTTTTTCTGCTCCCTTTTGTCGGTGCATTTGCTATTGTGTCCATTCGAATGGACACTATATGCCCTTTGTCCTATGCAACCGATGCGCTGTTCAACACACAATTGTCATGTAGCTGGTCATTTTTTTCTCGTTTCGTTGCAAGTACTGTGTATGTGATTCATTTGCAATGAAACGCATGCAAAATCTTAATCTCTCCGTATTTCTCTGGTTGATCGTGATTTATTTGATATTTTAAACCATAAGCGCGCATAAAAAAACGCAAACACACACACACACAATATTCACAGTCGATGCGACCCAGCCACATTGCTGCTTCGGTTTGCATCCATAACGAAGAAAGGTACCGAAAACCGGTTAACATTCGGACATTCGAGTTGACTCTTATTTTTTCATATTAAATCGAGAAAAAAAATGTATTTCACGACTACATGCGTTTTTTCCCTCTTCTTCGCTTGCTAGTTGTTGTGTTTTATTTTATTTTCTGTTTCGTACTCCACACCGCGAGTCTGCGTGCGTGTGTTTTTTTTCGGCTCGTCTTCTATTACCTAAACATGAGCGCGCCAATATCACAGCGAAGATGCAGCAAGCACATCATTTTGGCCAAGTCATAAAACCGAACTTTTCAGTTTTCAACCAATTAAGATTTATACAAAGACCATTTGGTATGGAGTCAAACAGGCTTGTTGCGATTCATCATTTTTCCAAATCTGGTTTTTCGTATGACTAAATTATTCGATGGATTTTGGGATTTGTGATGTTTAGGTGTGTTTTTGTCGGTGTTTTTTTTTTTCATTTTGCTTTTGGGAAAAACATTCATATTTCAATCGAATTCATGTTTCAATAGCGATATTATCGAAAAAGAAACAGGCTAGCACTGGCTGCAAAGCACCATGCTTGTGCTTTAATCGTACGCCAATCGATAGAACTGAATAGAACTATCACAAAGAAGAAAAACGAAACGATCTAACGCCGCATGCGACGCTTAAAGATATCTTTTTCCCGGTTTTTTCCCCCCCCCCCCCCCTCTCTCTCTCTCTCTCTCTCTCAGTTTCACGTAAGAGCATCTTGAAATGCGTTCCAACTACCGACGCCGTGTGTTTGTTATGAGTGCTAAAATTTCTGTGCGACTGGTATTTTGGCCGCATGATTTAAAAGTTCATTAATACTATAGCATTTCAGTGCGTATTCCAAACAGTAAACGAACAAAGGCATCTCTTGATACTCCAACAACACGTTACCATACGCACTTAGAAGCGATATAGAGTTTCTATGATACACCAAATAATAGTGCGGCTCCCCTCTTCCTCAGTCAGTGTTCTAGTTGTGTGCGTGTTTGTGTCTGTGTGTGTTTGTGTCTGTGTGTGTTTGTGTGTGAATGATGCCAGTTGTTGTCTCTCTTATTCCATCATAGAAACGATGTGCGTGAAAGTGTGGAAGGTAATGTGTGGCATGCAATAACAAATGCAACACCGTTTCACTTACGTTTTGTTATTTATTATTCGATGACAATTTTGCTATATACACACATGACTTATAGATTTTTAGTATTTTTAAACTCAATCGAAACGTTCGAATCAAAGGTGGGTCGAAATTGTATGGAATCGCTTTAAACGTTACAAATTCACATAAGCAATTAAATGTAAACGACTGAATTTGTAAATGAAAAAAAAGAATCAGTTTTCTCTTTCAAATGTATGTACTGACGGGTGAGCGTGTCCAAAAATCGAAAAGCATAATTCGGATCGGTGACATGAGCAAATTTGATGCTTCGGCTATCAAATTTAAACACGTAGAAAAACATAATTGAAAAATTCAAAAGACCATATCGATGAACTCTATATTCTTCATGAACATACTCATTTTTGTCAAGAGTTTTTTTTTCCTTTAAAAATGCAACAGAACAAAATGAGTATCTCGCACAGATGAAATATAATCAAAATTGAAACGAACGAACGAATGATCGACCGTCGACTCCCATCGCAATTCACAAATTCGCTAGTTTTCAACAACACATGCTTGCGTGAGCTGTACGAAAATAGCTCACATACATCTAATACACTATATATGCGCATGGTTGTATATACATGGTACATCTCAATCGAGAGCGTTGTTATCTGCCTTCATGTGCAACTAGCAACGGAATACAATTCACTTCGCACATTTGCCATCATTTTCTGTTCGCCTGTTACTTTACCTGAAACCATTGCTCTGTGCACGCCGTCGTTTGCTCCAATGCGACACACCAAAAATAAAAATGAGATTGCCTCACAAATGTTATTGTTGTTATTGTGTATGTACTATATAAATGGCTTCGGTTATTTATTGTGCACTGGGAACTTTGGGCGAACCTTGAGTCAAGCGTACGTATGCGTTTGTATTTGTGCAATTTCTCAATTCTTCCTCTCTCACTTTGCTTTCGCTGCGAGATTTCGGTATTAGGATATCAGAAAATTTTCACTATTTTCCTAACCGTTGCAACTTATTTTCTGAGCACATAGCTCGATTCAAGTTGCAACATACTCCTACTTGGTAGTACAGAGACAGCGCAGAAAATAGAAAAAAAAATCGAGTAAAACACGTCAACGAGCGCTGACAACCGAATAAGAATCATATCAATTCGAGATTATCGAGATGCAGACGAAAAAAAAACGAATTGAAAGAAATTTCAACGGAATTTGAATTGAATTTAATGGAAAAGTCTCTTCGAATTTCCTGATTAGATGAAAATGAGGTCATCACATCCATTGCGTAGCAATGGTATGGCATGTGTAGTGAAATGTTTAGAAAACAGGAAACCCGTTGAACGCTACTTGTCCCATTAAATTTGCTATCATACGTGCGTGTGCACAAGAAGCATTGATTATCGTCCAAATACATATTTCTAATTAAGATTGACAATCGCATTAAAAGATTGCGTGAGCGAAGAAATTGGGACTGCTTAAATGTTTCGAATTTTTGGTAGAGTCCAAACGGGTTGATCATTGAGTCAAAATCCAATGGAAAGCATTACGATAAACCGGATGCAGTCTAGCCATACTAAACTAGATGCCAGAACCACAATTTGTTTGGTCCACAAATAATGGTTTCACTGAAAACAAACGAAAATCTATTGAATTTCCTTTGGAAATTGACCTTTCGAAGGGCTCAAGTAAAAGAGAAAAAAAAAACTTTATTTTTGTAATTTTTTTTTTCATCGCATTTTTATTAAAATTCTTATATCATTTATTCTTCCATTGATAATTACAATTAATAAAATTACCATTATAAAATGTGTGTTGATTCTTCTGTTTTATTTTTTATTTCTTGTTATGCATGTGGTATGTGGTGTTATTATTCATCTTACGTTTCTTTAAATTTATTCTTCATATGTTTCATTTAAAAAAAAATTTCTTCATCATTTTAAAAAATAGAATTTAATTTTATAAAGTTCAATATAAATAAAAATATGCATATTTTGTTGTTGTTGTTGTTTATTCCTTAAAAACGCAGAAAGAAAAAATTGTTTCAAATATACTCTAATTACACTCTATTTGTTTGTTGTTGTTGTATTGTGTAGGAAAAATGTGGTATTCCATATTGTTTAGCTTAAAAGTGTTTGTTTGTTGCATTTCTCGTTAAAAAGTTAGGGCTATGTTTCTTAAAATGACGTGTGTCCAGAGCGATATATATATATATATATATATATATATATTATCTTCTTCTTTTTTAAAAAAAATGTGCACCGAAATATGATTTTGATAAATTTTGGCATTCAGTTTTTTTCCTTTCTTTTCTTTTCTCCGTTAAAAATGATAGTATTTCTCTTGTAAATCTTTACATTTCTTTGCCTTTACATGTAATACTGATTCCTTTTGAATAATTATTGCAACAAACGCAAATGTTCAAACATTTTTCTTCACATCCATTTCCATTTGATACGAACGAATTCATGTCATTTGTCAGGTGCGCAAATCAATTAACAATTGAAAAAAAGAAACAATCTTAAATATTGCCACATTTTCTATTTTCAATAAAACATTTCTGTCATTTTCCCTTCGGATTGCAGAGGAAAAACAATTTAACAACATTTAACCAATGTGCAGAAGAAACAATGATTATTTGCCTGTTTTTTGTTTCGATTTTGATCGTGGTTTCGATGTGCATTTGAGGCGATTCATCAATTCTTATCGCATGGGTTCCTTTGCTCACCATTCAAATTATACATCTTCTGGTTTGCCATGAATCTTTGCTTTGTTTTTTCCTTTTTCACTCTTTTTTTTGATAAAATTTACCTATTATTCTCGTGTTATTATTCGATTCGTTATGTTCGGCTTCGTTTTATGGGATTTTTGTTTATCATTTTCTCGCAATTAATTTTCTTCATTAAGATATACGAATTTAAAATATAACGATGATTGCGGCTTAAAAATGACGAATATGTGATTGTTAAAAAAACAACATGTTTTGAATTTAAAAAAAAAACAAACATCCAAATGAAAAGTCAGAAAACAGAAAAATTATTTCAATGATGATGGTACATTCGATTTTATAGAGTGTATGATATATGTATTCCTATGTTTGTTTGTTCGCATTTTCTTGGTAAAAAAAATGCGATTTTTAATTCAAACGTGTTTTTCTTTTTTTCATTGTGGACAGACTGGTGTGGTTATTATTTTGATTTTAGGTCGTTGGCAGAATTGTGATTCGGTTTTGCTTCATTTGTTTCTTTTTAGATAGGAGACATATGCTAATGTTATCATAAGAGTTTCGTAGAAATGTAGGTTAATTTAGAGCGGATTTGCATAGAATGCTGCTGATATTGTATCCCAAGCAATCGGAATCGATTCAAAACGCAATGAAAGAAAAATTTTGATTCCGGAGATCGACCTTGCGGCCATTTTCTACAGTAAAGTAGACTAAGAAATTCTGAGGAATTGAATTAAATAATCCGAAATCACAATCATTTCGCTTTGAAACCATTTCAGATTAATCGGAATAGGATGACCGCAGAATTGTATGTGAGCAGAGCGCGCGCGCGCGTGTGTGTGTGTGTGTGTGTGTGTGGCTGTTTGCATGTGAAGAAAATATTGTTACACACGCCAATAAAACAACGATTTTTTCTTGAATTGTTTGGTGTGATTGAAGAGAAGAAATATATCGATTTATTTTCTGCCGGCAGAGACTTGTCTTTTTTTTTACTTCGCTTTTCTTCGATGATATACACATTTTTTTTGTTATTCCAAAGGATTTATTCTGTTTTTTTCCTCTCAATTTCACTCATCCAGATCTTAATTGTATGCCACATGTTTTAAAATATGATGTAAGACGATTACAGCATTCTTCGTTCGAAATCTAGTTGCAACATTTTCATTTCTTTTTTCTTTTCGAATGCTTTGTTTAAAAGTGTCTCTGTAACTTGATTGGCTTTCGTGATTTGTTTTCCATTTATTGAATTCACTAAAAATTATTCTCTATTTGATTTCTTTCGATCGACTGTTCTTGTTGTTTTGGTGCTGGAATTATTTACGTTGATCATCTACTTAATTTCGGCTTTGCCAATTTCGAGCGTTTCTTCGGGTCCGGCACCTTTTTTGCGGTTAATCAGTTTTTATCGGCATCACCATAGAATTTCGGCTGTAAATACGATAAAGAAAACAAACACATTTTAGTATATTCGATTCGAACGTGAGTAATAGCTCCTACAATTTACGTGTAGTGCTAAAAATAGATTTAAAAATCAACAATTCAATCATCATCAACAAAAAAAAACACGAATTGAGCGTTAAAATTAACAAAAGAAAAAACAATTGCATTATTCGAACGCATTTCGATTGAAGGGGATTATTTGGGTGCATTTACATTTTTTTTGTTGCATATTTAAAGACACATTTGTTCAGTAGATTTCGTTTTAGAATTGTCATGCATTTTGGGGTTAGTTTCATTCAAACATACGTTTTCGGATGGTCTGCACATAATATGCTGAGATGCTAAACTATCCGAAAACGCATGTTTGGTTTCATTAGATCAAAAAACAGCGCAGATCCAAAACCACTCATTGGTTCAGTAGCTGTAATCGTAACGATTTTTGTGGGTTCGTTCAATTTAATCAGCATTGTTTTAAGTAGTTTTGTTTTTTTGCTTCAACTTCAATCGTCACACATACTCACACTTATTGCATGAAAGTGATTTTTATAGAATCAATAAATTTCACGAAGGAAAAAAAGAAGAAGTATCGACAAAATGACTCTTTCGTTTACTAACAATGTGACTAATCATGTGAGGCATTTGATTTGAGATTACATTTGTGTTTTTTTTCGTTTTTGGAATTAATAAATTGTCGTTTCACCGGAAAAATGATATTGAAATGTCTGCGAATAAAATACATTGGAAATTATGTTTAATAAAATCATTTGAATCGTCTTTTAAACAATTTGATTGTTGTTGATTTGTGTGTGTGTGCGTGTGTTTTAACACGAAATTTCAAGTAGAACACCGGCTAGATAGATGATTGTAAATCATTTGGATCATCCGTTTGAAAAGAGATTTTTTCTATTTTTGATAGACATTTCCATATCAACTTACTTCGTCGTGGGCTTCCTTTTGCTCTTCTTCGTCATCCGATTCGTCTTCTGCTGAGCTATCCGCAGTGTTATTGTTTGATTTTTCATTCGGGATAATTTTCGTCTGCAAAATATCGAGAAAAAATACATTTAAATCGCTCTTGAAACTTTTGTTGGCGTCTTGAACACTTACCGCTTCGTTCTTCGATTGGCTCAGTGAATCGAAGCAGTCTAAACAAACGCGCAATGGCTTTGTACTCTGTTGTGGTAGCAAGAATTTCTTCGATGAGCATGGTCCACACACCACGGCCCCACAATTTCGACAATGATGCTGTAAATGGAATCAAAATTGGATAAGTATCGTTGTTCATCCGCCGATTAAACTGATCGATAAAATGTACATATATATGAAATGGTATATGTGTGGGTGGGGTGGTCTCTCTTACCCTTCGCACAAGCATTGTGAATTGAGTTTTTTTGCAGTGCATGCAAACGTTTGCCTCGTTATCCGGTACCCAAACAGCGGCATGATGCTCGACCGGTTTCTTACCGCCTACAAACAAACAAGCAAACAAAAGCATTAACATTATCATCAGATACACGCATATCCCATATGCAATGCAACCGATACATACTTTTTCTCAATAAATCCTCTATGCACTTATTTATGTGAGCCATCCATTCCTGTTTCTCTGTGCTCGTGGCTGCGTATACAGCAAATGATTTGGTTGCTGTTCTGATAAGCCATCCATTTCGATATTCTGTTTAAATGACACCAACCAACAACCATAGGTAATTAATATATGGATTTAATTTGACGAATCACAATCGAAGTGGCGATGGAATCGTATTTCAAAAACACTTACGTCCATTATCCTCTAGCCCTTGCAGCTGTACCTCTTCCAATGGTATGATGTGCTGTTTGTTGTATTTCTTCTTACTGATCACTATGTTGCCATACACCAAAATATCGTTGAATAGAAAAAATTGTCTAGCTTTTGGCCGTTTGCGGCACATTTTCGTGAGAACACCCTCACCAACCAGCACACGTCCAACAACTTTCAATGGCTGCAACAATAATAAATCACAAATCAATTAATTTATTTTGTTTAATGCGTTTCTTTCAAAGATCGAGTTGCTTTTTTTGCTTCTCACTCTCAAATACTTACATGACCCGAACTGCCGAAGCAGCTCTCCACCATATTTATCCGCCGGGCATTTGCCTCGCTATTCACTGTAAATACGAGAAATAGAAAGAAAACACATCATTAAAAATCGCTATCAATTTTAAAAACACACATTAAGTTTTGATATGGTTAGACCATAATGCTTGAAAGATGAGTTTTGGATAGGCTTGATATTTTCCAAATCGATCGATATTTGAGTGAATCTTTTTTCCCCGCCAAAAGCATTTCATTTTCCTTCACCGACGCAAATATGAATATTCTCGATATATGTACAATATAAATAGGATCAGGGGATTTTTTCGCCATTGCAGACATAAACACGAAACGAAAACAGAAAAAAATGATACGACTTTGACATTGCCACCAGATATGGTAAACAAATGAGATCAAATTGTGTGCGCATTGTTTTGTTTTGGATACAAAAGTACGTTGTTTTTGTTGTTCGGTTCAAATGGAAGTCAGCCGCCGTTAGTGGGCTGAACTGTGTATTCGTTTCATGAATTGATAATTTGTTTGTGGGCCTTAAGACACACTTGACTTACCGGGCGCTTGTACGCGAATTTCAAACGAAACAATCGGAAACATCATGATTGTACGATTGTTCACCCTAAAAAAGTAGACGTGTAATTGCATTTATCGAATTGATCGAGTCGAAAATTTAAGAAAAAACAATCGTCGACAGGCAAATAAACCAAGAGTGCATTGGAAAATGCGCAATTTTTGTTTAAATCTATATGAAATATTTATAATCACCAGGCCGTTGATTCTAAGCATTCGACCATGTTCACGACCCTACGCAAATTAATAACAACGTGGTACAGTCACAGCAATAACAATTTTTAATTTCAACAAAACGGAACAAATAGAGAGGAAAAAACTATATCAGAAAAATGTGAACAAAATAAAAATCCAGCTTGTTAACAAATTTGTTGCTTTCGTTGATGTGTATGTGTGTGTGTGTAGTTGAACGTAGCTATTTTTGCGTGTAATGTATATGTTTAATGGGAATGTTGATTTCAAGTTCTTCGTGTGATAATACGCAAATCATATACAACTAAAGTGGCTGCGATGACTCCAGTAATTCAACAATAAGTCTACGATGTCGTATAATAATCAGCGGCAGAGAGATATTTAATTTTTTTTTCTCTTGTTCGCTTCTGTCTTCTTTGTTCAATTTTTCAAACACAATACGCGCGATAGAAAAAAAAATTCAAAAAATAAACACATGACTCAAGTGACAATTCACGCGACGGAGACGGCTAAACGATGAGATGCGAATTTGACACAAACAAAAAAACCGAAACCGACACATACAAGCGTGGCGGCATGCACTCTGTGCACAAAACACGCACATATCGTGACACCAACCCGCGCCAACGTCGACGTAAGACGATTCCAACAATTATGAAGAAAATTGTGTGTTTTTTTTTATCTGATACGAATTCGGTTGTTGTGTGTTAAGAAATAAAATCTCAGAAAATTTGCCCCGCCGTCGACAAGCGAATAACTGTTGGATTTTCTGTGCTGAAACCCAATGACTCAGTGATTGGCCCGTGATAAGTGTCGACATTTAACGTTTCAACTCATTTCGACTGCCGAGAATTTGTTTGTTATTTTTCGGCGTACGTAATGCGTGCGCTAAGAAGAGACACTGCTGCACACTCACATGCGATATGTGTCATTTTTCAAATGTGTAAAACAAAACTACTATCTTTTGGTTTTTGCGATCGTTCGCTCGGTCGTTCGTTTCGAAGTGCAACTTTTGATATACAAAACAATAGAGTGCGGAGTATCAAGTCTATTTGCGTTTGTTTGAAAAATGAGAAATGAGATTTTTGGTATCTATTTCGTATTGTAACTGTGATAGCTGCTGTTGCTGCTATCAGGGTAGGCGCTGTGTATATGATTTTATTGCAATTTTGTGTTTTCGAATGAGCCAGCGTGCAGAGTGATGTTTGCACACGGTTTATCGTTCTCGTGTGTGCATGAGTGAACTCATTTGGCCGAGAGAGTTGAGTGTACGAAGCGAAAACCGAGATAGGATGATGTGAACACGGGCATCGTCCAAACTACAGCCCAACTACAAAAACCAACGTTAGATGCAATGGAAAACCGGCAAAGAAAGTTTTTCATTTCTTTCATTCGCCGAAATGCACATTTCCAAGAAATTATTATCAAAAAAGATTAACAGAAAATATCGCTGTAATTTTCTTCGACTTTGTGTAGATGTGTTGCGCCCTTTTTTCCGTATATATCATTTATGCTTCAAAATGGATCGTAATCTGAAAGAAACAAAATGATGGAAAACGAACAGTGACAGTCACGTGGAAATTTGTAGCGAAACAACAGTGTGGCGATCGCGTGAATCGATTCCACTGCACCATACATGATGCATATAGATAAACATTTTCCCCATCCAGATTCTTTTGCTCAAGAACACAACACCGCTAATCGCACTGAATGCCATTAAGAGTGATTAATTATTACCTGACGCCAGAGGAAAAAAACACAGAGAGTGAGAGAAAAGAAGGCGAAGAAGAAACAAAAATAGCAGCACAAGACAAACATGAGAGCCAAACAACCGCACAATCAACAAAAGCACTTTTTCGTGTGTGCTTGTAATCGCTCATTAAAATAACACAAATGATCTTTTGCACTCAATTTTTATTCACTTTGTATTTTTATCCATTTCTCTTAAGCTCGAGCCACTTTTAAGCAACGGCGCGATATCATTTCTACACAAAGTTGCAAAACGAGAAAAAAAAACCATACAAAAACAATTTAGTTTTTAACGTCGGCCTAATCGTTTCAAGTAGAAACCAAGCTCGGCCATCATTTTTAGTGCGGAAACACCGTTATTTATGACATTGAACGTGATTTTCACATCGAAATGCCACACGAATTGTTGTAGAAAAGAGAAAAATCAACTCATGTATGGCCGGTTTCATACAACTGTCTATCGCACTCAACACGAAACGAGTGGAATGGTGATTTAGATGATTTCATCAAATCATCATAGAGCTATTGTGATAAGAATTTGGTTCATTATGAACATTAAAACTACATATTAAGTCAACGGATCATTTTTATTTCTCTCTACCTCTCTCTCTCTCTCTCTCTCTCTCGCTCAGAACTAAAAGAAAATTTTGCACTTCTTTAAAAGTTTGATTTGAAACTTCTCCAATCGGATCTGTTTTTGGATTCTTCATCTTATTTCTGGAGTTCTCGTCTTGAAGAAGCGGACAATCTCCAGTTGAGGAAATGGTTTGAATAATTTTATTAGATGCTTGTTGATCGGTTGCCAGTAATTACATTGGGTTTTCTTACTAAATAAGATTGTTTTCTAAGCTAATCGTGAGAATTAGCACTAGATGTTTATTTCATTACATCACGATCACGCCTTTTCTCATGCCTCACTTTGATTCCAACCCATTGATTTGATTACGATAATTTTTGACGGGCGGAGTGTCACTATTCTTTACATTCAACCACACATACAAGTTCTTCGTTTGAGAAAGAGTGTAATGAAAATCAGCTTCGAGCTAGAACATACAATTATGCTGCTGTTGACTAATGGAATTAAGTTAATTGTTAGCAAACTATGCTAATACGAGAGTGTGTTGCTGATAAGGTTTAAAAGTCGACGGAGCAAACTAAATGAGCAGAGGTTACCGCTTATTTTCATGCCGTCATAAATGATTATGAATTTGAATTATTTTTTTTTCGCTTGCAAATGTAACGAGAGAGTATTTATGGAAGAGGGAGAGAGATAGCGAGAGAGAGTAACCACTTGAATAAAAAGGTTTAATTTCCGAAATGCGAGTACAAGTCGAAAACTTTCAATGAATTTCGAAAGTGACTGAGAGCGGAGTGTTTTTTGGTTGCCTCCAATAAGAGAATTTATGACCTATATACATGGCGTCGTCGTGACGTGCATACGCTAATCAAAACGCAAAGAATGAAAAAGACGGCGAAGAATACTTCATCAAGTTGTCGGTTCATGTGAGGTGGTTATTTGCATACATGGAGTTGAAAATTAGTTCATTGTCATTTGTCTCATTTTGCGCGAAAGTTTATCGATCTGCAGTGTGGCGGTGTCATTGCCACTTTCTTGTTTGGCATTTTGATTGGCAGTGTGTTAGTGAGTGTTTTGAAACAATGCCTTTTATCGCATTCAAACAACAACAGTAACAAAGCGCGCACACACAAAACAACCAGAAAAATTATAATAATAGCATACGGTATCAGGTGGCTTTGCAGTGCATTTCGTCAATTTCAATTATGCATCATTGTATTTTGACGTGCACTCATGCACACAGCATGCAGCCGTTTTGTTCGGCATATCTTGTATTAGAAGCGCCGCAATAGACTCTATTCACTTGAATTTTTTCTCCGTTTGGTTGTTGTTGTTGTTTTTTCGGTTTTTATTGTTCAATTCCTTTTCAAATGCTACGTTTAATTGCATCTGCTATCAGTTTGAACCTTTTTGGCTTGTGTAGTAAATTGGTTTCTGGTATGAGTGTGACGGTGTACATCATGATACCTTTTAATAGACTCATGAACATTGGCGTCGTTCGTTTTGTGTGTGTGTGTGTGTTTGTGTACGATTCCGATGAGTGTTTATGTGTGTTTCACTGTAATCGCTTTGTATACAATTTGTTTGGAGTCGTTTTTTCTTTCTTTTATTTCGTTCAAATAGAGGCATTGCAACGATTCGATTGTGTAAAGCACGACAATACATTACAATATAGGCAACAGGCCAACAACAATAGCACATGTTTCCAACGATAAAAAAAAAATTTGTTTATCCGCAAAATAAAGTGAAAGAAGCGACGTACGAGCGCGACGATGGCTGAGGAATTATGGCTGATGCGGGTACATCAACGTCAATAGCGTGCATCAACAAAGGTAGTAGTAAAATACAGCAACAACAACGAATGACGACGAAAAAAAAGCAACCAAATGGTGTGCCTATTGTTGTTTTGATGCGTTACGAACAACACACAAACGACCGCCATCACGATTTTTTCCGTATTTCATGCAATTGCACAGAGCCATTCCGAGTATTGTATTGGAAATGGCGTTGTGGTCGTCGTCGTCGTCGTCGTCGTCGTTGTCATCGAATGCCTTATATGCACTTGGTCGCGCTTAACATTTTGGCCGTTCGTGATGGAAATCACAAAGAAATGGCGGCAAATTGTGCGCACCAATTAACCGATTAGGTTGTAGCCATTTATTTCATTTGATAGTTATGTCGGACAATCAATGCATCGTCGTTGATTCACCAATTTGCCACACTTGATGTGTGTGTGTGTGCGCGCCAGCACAAATTCTTTCTTGTGCTCACGTGCAACTGCACTAAACTGCACATGCAATCGTGATTTAATATGTGCACTTTGGTTTTCTCCCTTTCGTCTATTCAATTTGAAAGACGAAAGAAATAAAACGGTAAAAGTGTTATTTACAATTTAATTTGCCAATTATTTGCCACGAATCTCTTCGAAGTTTTCAATCAACGGCTGCACACCATACAAAATACTTATCATAATTAAGACTAAACCTTCGAACAAACGAATAAGTTTGAAATAAATTATACACGTTTTTCTGCTCATGGTTTGGTTCGATTTGTCTTTTATGGATGTATGAAATGAACATGAAAATACACATACACACAAGTACAAATGCATACAAAAACCCATATTAGCATTTCACCATCGTACGCATTTCATTTTACGGTTTGTCTCTCTTTGCTCCGGCCACCACTTCCGGTGCACTGTTTTTCGACAAAACAAAAATTCGTTCGTCTCTCTCGCTCTCTCTCTCTCTGCGTCTCTTTCTGTTGACTCTGTTCACCCTGCGTGCACACACACCAATGGGAAAGAGATTCGGTTCAATTGAGTGAGTTTTATTCAAATTAACGGAGTTCATGTGAAAAATGGCCATTGTCTTTATGTGGATCACCTCGTATTTTCATGGATCGATGCATTTTTTTCATAATTTTAACCAACAAAATACATTTCATTGAAAAAACGAATCGGTTGCTGTTACTGTCGTTGCAGTCCACGTTGCAGCATTGGAAATGCCTTAGGTTTGTCTTTGATCGCAGTGGGAAAGAGAGAGAAGAGAGAAATGCGACCATGGTTCTGTGAGCACCTCAAAATTGAACGCATTCTCGCAAAGCATATCGTCTATGACCGTAATTTCTAATGCATTTTGTGCGATTATGTCATGTACATTGAACTATGGTCTTGGCTCAGGCAATTGTGTGGCAAAATTATCAGTGGTTGAACCGAGAAGCCCGAAATCCAACGCAAGAACTATTGGACTTTATATACCTAATATGCGAAAATAGCGAAACAAACAAAAACATCACGCGATGAATCATCACATTTAATTTTCACACCCAACACACATACAGACACACACATTGATCCCCCTTCCGACCAACGGCTTAGTACATTGTGTTACAGTATTCAAATTATGACCAAATAACAACCGTCGAACGAAATGAGAAAAGAAAAAATAAACATGCTCCATTTGAACAAAGTTAGAAAATTGTGTTGTTCCCATTGCAGCCGCTTATTGTGTGTATTTAGGTGAAACACCATCGACTCATCGATGAGTCATTTTCAGTGCTTTCTTTGCCAATTTCATTTTTCTACTTCATTATTTAACATTCTTACTCCAATTCCAGTACATTGATTATAAATTGAATTATTAAACAGTCGTTTGACATGATTGACGCCCAACAACAGCAACAAAAATGACTCAATGCGATGTCATGAAAAACGGATTGAGAGCGTTGAAAGCGAAACAAGAAAAAATTGGGAAATTTCAAAGTGGAGCGAGAGAAGAAAAAAAATTGTAACGCGATTTGTAGCTGAAACAAAATTGGTTTTGATGAGTAATGAAATAATTCCATAAATGGAATAAAATTCGGTATTTGGACGATGAGTTCAAGAAAATCGTCTCCCAAACATAAACTGACGCTGTTCGGACGTAAAGAGGCAAAAACGACAACAGAAATCAAATCAACCTGACGAATACAGTTCGTTGAAATGTATTACAAAGAGCGTTTTTTTCGTTCTCTATCGAATACCAATCAATTCATTAGCAGCTGACAGAGACGCAACATTTAACACATCTGAGCCTTAATTATAGCAGCAGCAGAAGCAGCAGCAGCAGCAACAAAAAGCGCCATGTGAATGTATGAGCCACATACTTGTTTCGTTTGTTGACGTCGATTTCAATTGATAATCTAAAACTCGGCATATACGATGTGCGTATAAATGCTTTTGAAATTTCAAGTGATTGAATTACTCGCGAGGCTCGCAAATGATCTACGTTTTAAAATCCGTAATGAATAAGTGCAAAGTCATGATAAAGAAACAATGCTGCGGCATTCTCTCTCTCTCTCTCTCTCTCGCTCTCGCTCTCTTTACTAAATTTATTGAATTCCTAGCGCGCTAAAATGTGCTGATGTGTCTCTATATCTGTCGTGTTCTGTCGTCTGCGTGTGTATAAATAATCATTGACAATAAATAAATATTGCTCTTGTTGATAAAATACATCTCTCGCCTATTATAAAGAAAATTGTCTAGTTTTTGCATCTCGTTCTGGTCAATAGCGTTGTAAATATGTGTATGTGTGATTAGCTGTTTGCTATCGAGGAGGAGAGCGGGCGAGCGAGCAAGGGAGTGTGCAAAAGCAAGCGGAAGAAAGTGAATGAGAGTGTGAGAGAGAGAGTGATATCATTTTAAGGCTGTGTCGTTTCAATTCTTTTCATCATTTTTGTGTCGGGTTGTACTTTCAATCAGCACACTGGTACCATGCCGTTACTGATACTTAAGACTAATCGGCTTGTTGCACCTCACTCAAGCTCAACCGTTCGCACACAAAACGGAAAGAGTCTTTTGCTCGCGCGCGCGCGAGTTTGCTAGCTCGCTACTGCTGTGTGTGTGTGTGTGTGGGTAGTTTTGCCACATGGCTATGTGTATGCGAAATCGTATTTGTTCGCCCATAGCGAGTGACTCTAATCGACGAGATACGTATATACATATAATGCCCGCTACTGCTGCAACGTCGTTATCACTATCATTTTTTTACGTTCGTACTACTTATTCAGCAATGAATTTTGTTGCCGCTGTTGCTGTTGTTGTTGGATTTATTATTAGATTATTGTTATTATTCACCAAGTTATATACTGAATATGCATAACAATTCAATCCAGTTGTATAGAGCTTGGCAATACTCATAGCAATTGTTTTTCTTCTTCTTCTTCCTCTTCTTTTCGTTCGAAGCGCGCTATTCGTCGGAATTCGTATTTGTTTTAGACGGTGTAATTTGCGGTGCTGTTGTGTGGCGATCGATGCAGTACTCGCGGTTAACGATTTTATATCGTTGCATTTATTGATTATTTTGAATGCAAAACTGAATCGACTGCTGTGCGGTGATACGCACATGAATTCCTTGAGCCCGACCGACGATTAAAATGCTTTCAAACTATCTTTTTTCCACTCCCTCTCTCTTCACACTCACAAATATTGCCTTTTATAAAACGGAGTTGAAAAAACAAACGCAACAAACAATGAAACAGTACGACTGTTTGACCATTTACCTACAATGTAAAAAGAAAGTGAATCATTACAAATCGAGTTGATACACATATGCCATTCCTTGTGCTCGTATGAATAATAAACAAACCGACGCAGCACAGAGCAGAAAAAAATGTGTCGGTCGATGTGATTAAAGCAAAAAATTATGTATCGTACGCACGCAAAAAAGGCAACAACAACGACCTACCGACCGGCTACTGAGGAAATACAGTGCAACAAGTGGAAAAACGAATATCATACACTTGATAATGAATTGTTTTCGCTTCTTTTCCATTGCAACAATGCAAATGAAGGGCAGACCAATGGATGTATAGTTATGGCGATGTGATATTTCGTTTGAACGCCTATTTTTTTGTTCAACTCTTTAATGCATTACTCATGTTTGCAGCCATTCATCTGAAGGTGGTGGTGGTGGTGGTGGTGATTTTTCACACCGTTCACACTTCATTCACATTTTTCCGCTGATTGTGGTCGTTACGCTGAACTTTCGTCGCTAACCAAATGCGAACTATCATTGACTCATCAACGCTACCGCTGCCATCGTCGTCGTTGTCGTCGTCGTTTAAAACCACAATATACAACAAAAATAGCAACGGCAAGCAAAATTATTTGTCACCACATGGCACTGACTAATCGGCCTATAGATATATTTTTTCTGCTGCAATAACAACGTGTGTGTATGTGTGTGTTCGTGTGCTTTTCTTCGATAAACAACAGCTCAACTATACTTGAAAGCCTTTTATTTTGCTGTGCTTTGTTATTACTTCCATGTTTTTACCGCAGTGTGAAAGATGTCATTTGGTGCATTAATGCGCATCATTATTGCTCATTACAATGTAGCCGTTGCCCGCTTAGCACGGATTTTTTTACTACATTTTGGGTCGTACGAAATTGATTGTTCCAAATGTGTATTTTCAGTTCGGAAAATGAATAAACAAACAATTGACAAGAGTGGATGAAGTCTTGACAATTTCTAAACCGTTCACCACCTGCACCTTGGGATTAAGTAAACAAGCACATTTGCAACGAGTCATGCGGCGAAAACTGACATGACAGATCGTTTCTTCGAAAAGCGAACGAACACAAATAAAAAAACGTTTAGCGGAAATCATTTTGGAAATGATCAGATGGTCTTTCTCCAATCAGCGCATCAATTATGTTATTAGTTTAATTTTTTGTTCGCCAGCCGATTTCTTTCTTGCTAATTTCAAACCATCGTTTTTTTTTATTGCTGATTGGATTTCGGATATTCATTTTGCGAATCACATTGAATACTCATGGCACGAAATGCCATCGCGTTAAGATTATGCAAATATTGTCTTCTTTCATCATTTCCATTCCGCATTCGTATACTTCCACTCGCCCTGGGCCAACAATTGAAATGTAAATATTTAATCGATGTTTGTTTATCGGAGAGAAAGAGAAAGAGAGAAAAAGTTATCAGGTTGACGAAAGAAAAAGAAACTTTCACGATGGTTGAAACGTAAAACGAAAACAAAATTGCAGAATTCTTCTCGTATCGAGTGGAAAAAAGCCAATATTTCGGTTGTTCATAAGCGTAATGATCGTGCAGTATATTTAATATGTATTGTGCGGTGTGTATGACGCAAAATAAAAATTGTTTCATGATTTCATCGAGTTATCGCCGTTTCATCGGTATTGATTCACATACACTTATTGCATGTGACATGTGGTTTTTTGGTAGTGCGTCGAATTCAAATTGAAATCGACGAAATGTTTTTAAAATTAGTTGTCAATAAAGTAAGAGACAAGGGGAAGAAACGGGTCAAATGAATGGAAGAATAAAACCAAATTATTTCACTATAATGACGACGAAAATGAATTTAAACTAATTCACAATTCGTGTAGCTTGAAATGGGGAGAGAAAAAAAAAATCAAAACAAAACAAAAAAATATATCAATTGGAAATGAACAGAAACAATGCCAAGGTTTGAACGGCGGATTCGGTCAAATTGTGCGCCGCGTATGAGTGTGTCTGATGCAGCAGCAGTAGTGGTGGTCAAATCTTGTCAAGCTTGACTTCAGGTAAAGCTACTTTTTAATGGTCGTCATCGTTAATTGAGAAACAAACAGACAGAGAACAAAAACATCGTAGCACTGAAAAATGTTCTCTCGATGTGTATGTGTGTGTCGTTTTGTCTTTTAATTTGAATGACAAAGGAAAACGGTAAAACATTACAATTATTGAAATGAAACAAAATAAACAACACAGCCGAAATTGAAGAAGACGAAAATGAAGAAAAGACAACAGAAGTTGAAATAAATACATTACGCGCCAACTGGATGAGTTGAGAGCACATTTGTGGCTGTCCCTTTCACCCACATTTGCGGTGAGATTGGTTGTCATTGGATTCGGTCTGTCTTCAAGTTTTGTGTTTTATTTCTCTCTCTCTCTCTCTCTCTCTCTCTCTCTCTCTCACCTCTCACTGGTTATATTAATAAGAATAACAATCATAAAATCGGCCGAACACGGTGTTCAATTTCAATTTTTGTGGACGCGTAATGGTGTGTGCCCACTCACGTAAAGCAAATACACACACGCAATATGTGTGTTTCTTTTCGTAACACAGATGCAGAAACCAGCAAGAGCAAGTTGTGCTTGTGCTGTGTACCATATAGATATTGGGGAGGGGAAAAACACAAATATATATTGAATCACAGTATCGACTCTAATGCAGCACTTAAATCAAATGAATGCAATTGGGCGACATGATTTTCAAAGTACGAATTTTGAAAAGTCGTAGCTAAATTGCCAAAACGGCGATGTTTTGAGTTGACATCAAAATATCAGTATAAATTCTTATAAAAAAGACTCTTGAAACACGCAGTTGGTCAGTAGTTTCTCTATCTCTGTACACTATCCCTTTCTTTTCCTCGGTCATTGCTTTCCAAAAAATCATTTAAACAACGAATTAGCACCAAATCACATCATAATCTAGCATTAATGCCATAAAACATTCAGTATGTGTTGTGTTTTTCCCCATTTTTGCTGCTAGTACAGTTGTTTTTTTTCTCATCCAGTTTATCAATAAATGAGTGTTCATGGTTGACTTGACGTCGAAAAATAACCTTGTTTTTGGACTCTCTTTTTTTCCCTTTTTTCCCTTTCTCTCTCTCTCTCTCTCTCTTTCCAAATAAACAACATTTTCTCCGGCTTATTCAGCAAAGAACATAGTCGTTTTTTTTCCTGTCGCTCTTCAGTGGCACACACAAACGAACGAACGAAAAAAAGATCTCGTTATCCGCAAACCAAAACAATCCATTGAATCACTGCGAGCGTACATATACACTACACGCACAGCCAAACGAGTCGACTTTAGCATACACAACAGCACACGCAAAACATTCCAAAATGAACCCGAGAAAAAAACTCAATGCTGATTGATATGCACTTCAGCAGTTTTTTCTTTCTTTGCTTTTTTTCATACTTTTTTTTCATTATTAACAGTTCGAATCGGAACAGGCCGAGACAAAACAATTGCTTTTTTTTAAAGAAACGACTATCGACGATTTGAACCGTGAAACAACAACAACAATAACAATGAAAAAAAAAATCCCGAACTTTATTTTGACTTATGATTCATATTCTCAATTTTCCTGCATTAATTTTTAAATAGGTTTTGTTGTTATTCTTGCCTTGCACAAAACACTCACGCACACACTCACAATAACACAACACTTTTTTTTCGCTCTTCGAACCTTTTTTTTTGTATTTTGGCTGTACACTTGGTCAAAATAATGATTGAATATATATATTTTTAAGGGGAAAAATGGAGACAAATGCAATTGATATCAATTACCGAACAAATGAATCAAACAAAACAATGGAACACAACCATTAAATTAAAGAGAGAGAAAAATTGTTCTTCGTTAGGCATAGTATATATAAATCCCATGAAGAAGAAGAGAGAAAAAAAAATGTAGAAATATTCACAAATCGACTCGAAATGCAAAACTCATTGGAATTTTCTTTCTATACAGAATGATTTAACACGATGATAGGGAGAAAATAAAAATTTTAATTTTTTCTCTGCTCGCTGGTGTTTGGATTAAATTTTTTTTTTCTGTTTTTTATTTATTTTGTATTTATTTATTACTCACCAAGTCTGTCGACCATTTTTAAAAACTATAAAGCAACTGATGCTACCAATCAAAAGTGAATTGGAATTTTGTGTGTTGCAATTACAGCACAGTGAGAGAGAGCTATGTGTGTTTGACTTGATTGTTCCGAAGCGTTCGTTGTTCGATCGCACCGAAATTTAATACACGAATATGTCAAGCAGCACACAGCACATAGTACTGAGATAATTTGAGCTGTCAGCAGCACACTGTTTCGCACTGTTTCGTTGCGTTGAACTGTGTTGTATTATGTACGTGTGTGTGAGTGTACGTGTATTTGTATTATGGATGTGGGTAATGCAGTTGTGAGTAATTAGGTCTTGTACTAAATTTGCTCACAAAGGAATTGGGCATTTTTAGGGATAATCTGCAAATTAAAATGAATGAAACTGCATGGGAATGGTTAGAAAAATTGAAAACAATTTTTTCATGGTAAAATTGTAATTTGAAATTATTTTCTACAAAATAGTCGCATAAACTGCATTACTCGTGTATTGTTCACGACGAGCAAATGAAAGACGTCATTTGAGCTCAACTTGACAGATCGACTTCGATACATTCAAAACAGAGGCACACAGAGATTGAAACTCTGTAAAAGGTGTTTTTGAGTTTCATCGAGCACTCTTTTCATGGGATTCAAATTACAAAATAAACTCAACGCACTGCATCAACGAAAAGGCAACGAACCGAACGTATTCTCATTTAATCATCAAATAAAATGGGACTGATGTCATTGTTGCGTAATGGAAGTCTCCACCGACAAATCAGACAAACATTGGCAGCACGCTCATATTCAGGTTATGTTGTTTTGTGAGTATTTACGATTTGAGTAAAAAAGTGCTATTTCGAAAATGTTCAACGAACACACACATGACATGTTTTGGTTTTAGATTGCCGGAAATTGGTGAGGACGACCCGAAATTGAATCCATTCATAAAGGACGATGGATTTCCGGAGTTTGCCAATGTATCGATTGATCGTTGTTTGCGTCGAATCGGTGGCCAGGCGAATGCGCTTGAGAATGAAGTGAAAAAAGGCGAAGAATACTTGCAACAGACCAATGAATCGGGCAAACCATTGAATCTGAACGATTTTTTCGAAAATGTTCTGCATCCGATCGAAACAGCTGATAAAGAGCTAGTCGCCAGTTGGGGCTTATCGAAAACGGTATTCCATGGCAATAACGTCATATTTTCAACCAAAAACTTTTTGTCACTGCATCAGCGAGCACGCAAAGCCAACCTCAGCAAATATCAAAGTAGACCGATCTATGAGGCTGTGAAACAGCTTCGAAGCAGCAATGAATTGACCACCGAACAGAAAAAACTGTTTGACATGTATCTGTTGGAGGGCAAACTGTGTGGCATTGAAATCACCGACGAGACTGATCAAGGTGAATTGGCGTATCGACAGTTGAAATTGTCCGAAGAGATGATTACATACGAATCAAAAGTGTATGTTGCCGTTGATCATTTCTCACACACCGTCAACGATTATACGCTGATGCAATCATTTCCGCAAGAATTCCTGCAAACCGTTGCGACCGATGCGAGAAATCCGTTGAACGGACCGTGGAAAATCAATTTGAAACCGCACATTTTGAAGACATTCTTGACATACTGTCCGGATCGTGAGCAATGCTGGAATGTGTGGCAGGCTGATTGCAAAAAGGCATCACGGCAAGTGGTCACCGAATTGGATAACAGCGGCCATTTGGAATGGATTCGAGATCATCGCAAGCGAATCAGAGAATTGTTGGGCTATTCAACGCATGTCGAACTAAAGCGAGATCGGCTACTGTTGAGCGGCACCGAAAAACCACAAACCATTCTCAATGAGTTACGGTCGTATGCAAAGCCAACTCAGTTCAAGGAGATCAATGAGTTGAGCGATTTTGCCATTCAAAGCGGTTTTCGGTCACATCAAATCGAAGAGTATGACATACCATACTGGAGTCGCAAATACAACATAAGCGTATGCAAATATGATGAGAATTTGGTACAAGAATATTTTCCCATTGAAAAAGTGTTTGGCGGTTTATTTGGTCTGGCCGAAAAGCTGTTTGGCATCAAAATTGTCGAACGAAATACGGACACCAGCACCCTTGGATGGCACAAAGGAGTCAAATACTTTGATGTGTTTGACACACGAAAGAACAGTCTGCGCACCGATTCATCACAACCAATTGGCGGCTTCTTTTTGGATGCATTCAGTTCGCCCGACGAAGAGCACACATTCACTGAACCAACCGGCTATGTTGTGCCAATTAGAGAGCACTGTAGCCGAACAAATGCAACGCCGCTAGTATCATTGATTTACAATTTCAATGCACCGCTGTACGGCAAACCGCACACTCTCAAATTAAAAGAGGTTCAAGTGGTCTTCAGCAAATTTGCGAATGCATTGCAGAAAATCTTGAATGAAAGTAATTACCGTGAACTGTCCGGTCTTATTAACATTGAATATGTTAATGACAAAGTGTGCTCGGGCGTGTTTAGCAATCTATTGTACCGTAGCGATGTATTGAAATCGATTTCCGAACATATAAGCACAAAAGAACCACTGACCGATGAACACATCAAAGCCATTCAAGCGCAACGCCTATCACTTGCCGGCTACAATTTGTCCACACAACTGTTTCGGTCTGCTCTCGATTTGGAACTGTATTCAACGCAACAATTTTGGCTGGAAATTATGCGAAAAATTTACGCTAAATACTTTATTTTCGAATTGGACAAACGTGATTCGCGACTGCTGTCAATGTTAGATATTGTTGTGGGCAATTGGTCGGGTTGCTATTTTGGTTTGGTGTGGTCGGATTTGATGGCCGCCGATATTTGTGATGCATTTGATAAAGATTGGACAAGCACAGCTGATGCAGATGACACAGCCGCCAAAACGGGTCAACGATTCCGCGACACATTCTTGGCGTCCGGATCGAACACCGATTCATTAGAACTGTTTCGAAATTTCCGCGGACGAGATCCAGCCATTGATGCACTCGTCACACAATTAAAACTCCAGCAACAAGCTAAAATCCAATAAATACCAATTTTGTGTGAAAATATTACAATAATCTAGAATTTGATTTTAAATAAATTTTAGCCATTATATAATCTGTCATTCGGTTTCATTACGCATAAACTTTTCAAGCGTTGGGATATTAAAAACATTTTTTTTTCGTGTTCTTTTCTTCGTGCATGAAAAACGGGGAAAAGTTCAGTTGATGAAAAGAAATAAAATAAAACGTTGAACAATTGATATTCATTTCATTGACTTATTTTCTTCATTTATTGAAAACGATCGATATTGCAGCACTTGACAGTTGGGCATTGTATGCAACGACGTTTGACAACGTCGAAGGTTATGTTTATCATCAGTTTCAAGCGAATTTCGTGATATCCGCAACCAATATTTATGTTTTAGACTTGATTTTCGTGTGAGATAATTTCATAATTATGTCGCAGAAGGAAATTCGAACGGTTTTGCCCGCATATTTATCAGCTGGACCACATGGAGTGGGTGAGTGAAAATTAAGTTTAAATATTCCTAAGGAAAACTTTACAGAAAAAAACTTCTCAACTCCTTTTTTCAAGGCGACCCTGATGATAAACGATTGCGAACCAGTGAACGCAAAGTACTCATACCGCAACTCATGCGAAAACGGGCCAGAGAAATTAAATGCGTACCTGAAGTAGCCGAATTCGAGAAATGTGCCAAGGAAAGTGGCCTATTGATGCCGTTCAAATGTCGTGGACCAACCGATAAATTGAAAGAATGCATGGCTCATTGGTTCTATAACGAAGAATTTATTAATGAATGTACAAACATTTACCTCGACGAACGATCGGAATATCGAAGAACCGGCATTTCAAAGAAGCAAAAAGAACGATTGGCGGCTGAAGCACAGGACGCTAATAAAACATAAATGTTATTTGAACAAATGATACGAAATAGAACAAGTTTTAGTTATTCATGAAAATAATGATTGATTCTGATTTTATTTTCGGAATACCGAGTCTATTTTCATTTTAGTACCAATTATCGGAACCAATACCATGTATAGGTGAGAAATATGCATTGGACACATTTTTGCGAAGTGATTAAAAGAGTTTCTACTAAAGATGAGTTTCAATTGAACAATTTTTAATTTATTCCAAACAAAATGTACAACTATTTCTTCGTATCATCGTCGTTTTGTTGTGTTAATATGCCTAAGTCTGCGAATGATGCATTTTGACTGCCTCGTTGCAATGGTTGTGGTTGATTTGGGCCCGGTTTCCAACCCACCAAATGGATCAATTGAAAAGTGGCACTCACTCCATTTTCTACTTTGTACAGTTCGTTATAGATTGCTGACGCCGCAGTCATCACATCACGGCTCAAGTGTAACGGTCGAGTATATGATGCATTGTTTTCGGCCATTCCTTTAGAAAAATCATGTCAGAAAAAATGTCAGAAATAATTTCGAAATACAAATATGTATAAAGAAAGACATTTTAATGGATTTCTCAATCATTGAATTGTCCAAAAAAGGATCGGTTATTAAGATTTGTGCCTTTAAGCTTTTTGTTCACTCTCTTACCTTTCAAGTCATACATTAATTCAAACATCGATGGATATCCAATGACCAGTTCGTCTGTATCGATTGTTAGCATTTTGAAACCAGCCTGATTCAATAGCGAACCAATGTCTTGAACCTGAGTGAATGGTGAAATATGTGCCGAGATACCACCCTTCCGTTCAATTTCCGCCAGTTGCAATGCGGATCTCAGTTCAAATAGAGTGTCACCACCGAAAATTGACGCCAAAAACACTCCATCCGGCCGAAGGCTTTTGATAATCGATCGAAAGCATCCCGGCAAATCGTTGACCCAGTGCAAGCTCAGATTCGATATTACCATATCTAAAGAGTTTTCATCAAACTTTTGAATCAAAGAATCACCAGAGAATGATTTTCAGTCAAATTGGATTTCTTTGAGAGATCGATATGATCGCTGTCATTTTCAATTTCTACAGAGTTATTGCACCCATATGTCTGAGCAGATTCACATACCTTTGGCGCTTCTTCATCCATGTGAATGGTCGTGATTTTATATCCTTCCGGCTTTGCAGCAGCTTCAGCCTGTTTCAGAGCCACTTCACTGGAATCACACAAATAGAACTGCTCGATGCCATCGGGTAATTCATGGCGTGTGATAAATCCACGGCCACATCCAATTTCAGCCGTAATTTTACATTCTTTGGTTAAGTCAAACATTCGATCAACCAATCGTTCACCGACTTCAGCTTTGATATAGTCAAATACATCGGCATCTTCGCTATAATATAAAAAAAACGGTTTCAATTGTCGATCTCAAAAATATTTTTTCATTTCCAAAGAAAATAATTTCAAGCAAATAAATTCAAATCACCGTTGAAATGCTCGATCTTTTTGTGCCTGTTTGGCCACCCGATCGAAAATGTTCACATTTGATGCTGAACTCCGATGTTGATGCGATCTCGATAATTTACGGCTATTTGCAACGATTCGACAATGCTGTGTGCATCGTATGCATCTTGTCACACAATTTCGTATCATATTTCTATGAAATTATTTTCCAATAATCTTAACAATTCAATTTCACACCCATGTTGTTATGTATATATTTTAAAAAACTATTCAGCATTCGAGTACAGTGTCAATATTCATGTAAGATTATTTGCCCGAAATGTCAAGCGAAACTGTTGCTCAAAACGATGAAGGTAACAGACGAAAAAAAAAAGTTCGGGCAAACTGAGCGCAACAATGGCGTTTCTACTGAGCACCGGCATATTGAGTGAGCGGGCAAAGCGTTGCACTGTCAAACAATTTAGCATCGCTAACTTAACATAGTGGTGTTTCGTGTTTTTGTTATTAAATCCGATTGATTCGTTTTTACGCAAAATAAAAACCGACAATTTTTGTGAATTTATTGATTGATTTCAATTGAATTGATAATTAAATTAAGTTTGAATCATAATTTTTCAAAACTTTGGTATTAAAACATGAAGCTCGTTAGGTAAGTATTCGACCGAGAAAATATTGTTTACCAGCTTCGGATTCAATTGAAACGTATTCTAACCAAACAAATCGATTCGCTTTTTCTCTTCTCGCGACGTAGATTTTTGATGAAATTGAGCCATGAGACGGTGACAATTGAATTGAAAAATGGTACACAGGTGCATGGAACCATAACCGGCGTTGATATTGCCATGAATACACATTTAAAGGCTGTCAAAATGACCATCAAAAATCGTGATCCCGTTCAGTTAGATTCGCTCAGCATACGCGGTAACAATATCCGATATTTCATATTGCCGGACAGTTTACCGCTCGAAACATTGCTAATCGATGACACACCAAAAGCAAAAGCCAAAAAGAAGGATGCTGCACGATCGGGAACACAACGAGGTGGACGTGGTCGTGGTGCGCGCGGAAGAGGTACGTGAATTGAGCATTGAAAAAAAGGAACAAAAAATGCCACGACCAAGTATTAATTGTTTTGTATCAATTTTTTTTTTAGGTGGACCTCGCGGAGGAAGAGGAGCACCTCGTGGACGTAGCGGCGGAAGACGTTAAGACCATGGAAAAATTGTATCAGTCGAATGAGTGAATGAATACCGATCATCATTTCAATAGGAAAAAAAATCATTGCCATTCGCTTCAGTTCAACTCAGTAAGGAAGAAAAAAAAATGAAACAAACAACAAACCACAATAGCTCCAATTTTGGAGACCATCAAATTGTCAAGATGAGGAAAAAATGAACGAAAAATATGGAAACATTCATAAATTTAAGAATTTAAATAAAAACAAAGGAAAAAATATTCAAAAACACTTTGAATAATCAGTTTGTTTGATTCGATAGACATAACCAAACAAAATTGCTAAACGTTTTATATGCAGCCGGGCTTTGCCATTCACAATGAAGGCAGGTTCACATAGAACATGTGAGCCTCCATGAACGGTGTATGTGTGTATAGCATTTGACATTTCGATGATGAAGCCAAAGCCTTGTTGTCAAATTGTGTCATTTTGAAATCGTTTTTGTAGCGAGTGTGTTTTTGGTTTGTTTTCATTTCTTTAGCGAAAAGTTTACTGGGAACGAGCGAAATATTGAAAAATGTCCGACAAAGAAGAGCCGAGTGCAAGCAAACGATCGCATGAATCGGACGATAAGGCCGCTGATGACGATGAATCCAATGACAGTTGGATTGGACCATTGCCTACCGATGCCGCTCCAGTGAAAAAACGCAAAGGTATCACCCGTTTATCTATAATTCTTTCCATTCACTTAATTCACATTCTGGTGGTTCTTTGACTGTAGTTTTGGAATATGAAAAATTGTACCTGGAAAATCTGCCAGATGCTGAATGCTACGAGAAAAGTTACATGCACCGAGATGTTATCACACATGTTGTGGCCACTAAAACCGATTTCTGCATAACGGCCAGCATCGATGGACATTTGAAATTTTGGAAGAAAATGGAAGACGGTATCGAATTTGTGAAGCATTTCCGTAGCCATTTGTGTAAGTTGCTTCGTCTTAATTGCCTCTAAATGATCTTCATTGTCAATCTGCTTAATCTGTATCTTTCTCTCATAGCTCCAATAAACGCTTTGGCGGTAAATGCAAATGGCACTTACTTATGCACAGCATCAGCTGATAAAAGTGTGAAAATATTTGATGTCATCAATTTCGACATGATTAATATGATTAGGCTGGATTTTGAGCCGAAATGCGCGGAATGGATCCATAATCCAAACGATGCCATCTCGGCATTGGCTGTGTAAGCAAATACCATTTTGAATTTCCTACACAGATTCAAGGTCGATTTTAAAATGTTTATTTTTGTATGCTATTCTGTATAGGAGTGACGCTGATTCACCAAAAATAGCAATCTATCATGCACAGGGAAACAACGAACCATTACATGTATTAGAGAGATTGCACACAAAACCCGTAACAACGATGAAGTACAATTTACGCTATGAGGTCATTGTATCGGTTGATCAAGCCGGCATTCTGGAATATTGGACGGGAGCAAAAACTGACTACACATTCCCGGCTAAAATCGTTTCATTTGAATCGAAATTGGATACTGGTAAGTGGTTCACGGAACTCTATTTTCATATGCCAAAATGCTGATCAATTTGATTTGATGTTTTTGTTTAGATTTGTATGAGTTTGCGAAGAATAAGACTATCGTGACGGGATTAGCCTTTTCGCCCGATGGCAAACGCTTTGCCACACTGTCAACCGATCGAAAAGTGCGGGTGTTCACATTTTTAACCGGCAAATTGATTCGCGTTTTCGACGAGACATTGGCTCGGTACCAGGAGATACAGCAATCCAAACATGCGTTGCCTAACATGGAATTTGGAAGAAAGTACGTGTGCTTCCAGCATTTTTATCAGCGTTCTTTTTTCGATGAACTGAAAGAACCGTGTCCCATTTGGGCCATTTTGTACAGAGTTCTAATGCATATCATCTTAAAGGGTATTGTGTGTAGATAAATTATATATAGATACCCAACCCCTAAATTGTGAGGAAAGGGGTTAAAATTGAGAATATGTTGGCAACCCCAAAATAAAGGTATCACTTCCCAGGGCCAT